AATTTTTTATTAGGTAGGCTTTTCTGTTAGGTAGAATTTCTCTTAGGTAGGATTTTCTATTAGAGTTTTTCGGATAGGTAGTAGTTTTTAAATATTTATTTTTACTTTTTTTTATTCTTTGCTGTCAATAAATTTTGGAACTTCTGCTTTGGCTGTTAGTTTGTAGTTTATTGATGACAAAGATAATGATAAGACTTCGGGTGGGCAAACAGCAAGATTCTCTTTTAAAAAACGGAAGATGTTTCTTGCGTAAATTATGAAAAAGTTTGAACGTTTAGACGTTTAAATGTTAATAAATTTTACTAATAAAATATTACTACTTTTAGAATTATAAAAGATACTTTTGATTATAAATGAAAAATCGTATTGTTCAGCTCTTTTTAACTAAAATCTTTTGCATTATTCATAAAACTTTTAAACGTTTAAATGATTTTATTGGCATATTATTGACATATTGACATATTATTTTCATTTTGTATTATCTTGTATATTATTTCGATGGAATACAGTATAATATATTAAGAAAAATTGTAATGAGCTAAATGTCCCAATGGCTGGATCGGGGATGTTCTTTACAGCACAATTGTACTATTTTAGTACAATTCATCAAATCTTAGTACGTCAGTACATTTCCACAATATTTTGTACTGATAATCAGTACATTTTCAGTTCAAAGTACAACCTCGCTCGTTCAGAGCGATATCAGTAAGTTCTCTTTTGTTCCATCAAATTTCAATATTCAAATACGCGAACAACTTATTTCATTTGTAATAAAAAATATGCATTATAATTTAAATTATAATGCATATTTTATGTAAACTATGAAGTAATCGCAGTTAGGGCAATTTAAATATCCCGCCAATTCATGGTTAAAGCCGGGTCTACAATGAGTCGGTAGTCGGTAGTCGGAAATCGGAAGTCGTAAGTCTTAACCTAAGTCAGTGACTCTATCAATTTTTCGCATCCACAATGAGTCGCTAGTCGTGAAGCAAGTCTCTCAGCTGGACCAATAAGAAAGCTGATTTTAGCAGCACCCACTTGCTCCCAACAATGTTTTTTATCTATATTTTTATATGTTTTCACATCTTTTGCGTACAGGCAAGGATTTGCCTGCACAATTTTAATTATCTCTAGGTCGTCCAGATTCATTTTGATAAACACACATTGGCTGCGTTCCGTAAAGAGCATATGCGCGCATGTATCTATAGTATACGTGACGTATGCTGTAGATACATGCACGCATATGCTCTTTACGGAACGCAGCCATTGATTAAGGGCCAAAGCAGAATGGCTGTCTTATAATTTTAAGACAGCCTTAAGTCTTTGTCTCGAAGTGACGCACAATACTGTCTTGTGTCTCGAGTCTTAAACGTATATACACCGTGTCACGCTGCAAAAAGTACGTGTGATAAACGAATATATATAAAAAAGAATTATATATATACACAACTACTAATAAAAGGTAAATATTTTATAAACATTTATAATATAATATATTTAAATCTAGTTAAATATGTAATAACAATTTTATGCATTTCAATGTATTTCAATAAATGAATAATAACCTAACCTAACTTCTTT